CCTCTCTGCTCTACTTCTCTTTAGAGTAAAGCAGATGAGAACTCATCCGTCTTGTGTATGGCAGCCCTAAACACATTTGAGGGGCAGCTAGGTGGCATCATAGCACACGGAGTGCCAGGCCTGGACCCAGGAAGATCCGAGTTCAAATCCAGCCTCTGATAAGTACCCATGTGACCCTGAGCAAGTCACGTAATCCTGTTTGCCTCAGTTTCCTCATCTGTAAAATAAGCTGGAGAAGACAATGACAGACCATTCCAGTGTCTTTGCCAAGAAAACCCCAAATGGGGTCATGAAGAGTTGGACACAACTGACATGACTGAACAACCACAACTGAAGACAGCTATCTCAAACCTTACTTCGTCTCTTTTTCTCTAGGCTAAATGACCCTAGGACCCTGAATTGATCTTCATCTGGTATGGTGTCAAGGCACTCTACCACCCTGGTCAACACTGTCTCTGGACTCTCTGGGTGGGGAAGGGAACAAGGATTCATTCATAAGTCTAGCATATCTTATTTGATCCTCACAAAATCTGTTATTTAGGTGCTATCACTCCCATTGTTCAGGTGAAGAAACTGAAGCAAATGGAGGTTAAATGACTTGCCCAGGGTCAAATAGCTAGGTGTCTGAGGCTGCATTTGCACTCAGGTCTTCCTGACACCAGGTCCAGTGCTCTGTGCACTGTGGTGCCACCTAGCTGCTGGGTCTCATCATTTGGGCAGTTTTGCAACCACCTAACTATATTATCAACTTGCCTACATGTCTTCATCTCCTCCACAAAAATAGCATGTCAGGCTTTGGCAAATGTATGCTGAAATCTAATTTGACTTGGTTTGTGGCATTTTGCACCCATTGTCAAAGGGAGTGCATTTCTACGGAGTGAGGATGAGATAGAGTAGATTTGGAAATGAAGATGATGCAAAACATCAATAAACACTCTAAAAGCAGAAAAAAGGATTTCTTCCTATCCTTTTTTCACTTATGCATTGGAGGGCGTATCTTAGGCATCCATGTGTGTCTTGGATATCTGACTTCTTTCTGTTCATGGGCTTTTGATACAAAGATATTTTAAGTACTCAACATTTTCATTTATTCTAATTGCATTGATTTTATTTGTGCAAAAGCTTTTTAGGAAGTGTCTTTGAAAATGAGAAATTCCATGAAAAAAGCAAACAAGATCCAGAAAATATCTGAAAGTCTACGACATACTTAAGACTTATTTAAAACCAACAGTATACAAAAAGGAAGAAAAACAAATAATCAGAGACAAATCCATTGTTGTGGTTTGGCTGCATCAATATAATAAAAAATTATATACATAAAGACTTAGTAAGTTAAGGACTCATTGCATGAAAATAGAAACAACATGACTTAAAATACAAAAACTCTAGAATCTCAGGGAAAACAATAATAAAGAGTAGGAACGAAGAAGAATGAGCATTACCAGATAGTGATTATAAGTCACTATCAATACCATTTGGTATTGGTTAAAAATAGAAAGGTCGACCAGTGGAATAGCCAAGACAAGCAGGTATCAGAAGCAAAGGAATCCAGCCATGCCGTATGGAATAAACCCAAGGCCCCAGACTATGGAGGGCAGGGAGGACAGCGAGGACTCCCAGTTGGACAACTGCTGGGAAAATGAAAGAGTTTAGCAGAAAATAGGTTCAGATCAGCATCTTATACCATAAACTGTCAATGGACATGACCTACATAGACCCTAATTGTAGGAAAACTTAATGAATTGTCTTCCATAACTACAATTAGGTGATTTCATGACCAAACAAGGGTGATGAGACAAAATTTACTACTTTATTTTTAAAAAAAATGAAATGGCTTTTGTCTGTAGATTTGTGTTTGTGATTTGAGTAGATTGTGCATGAATGTGTAGATTTAGTGTGCATAGTTCAGTGTTTAGGCTGGGTCTAATAATGGCTGTTTTCCAACTCTATTCTATGTGCTTATCTTGTTCTCCACATTCCTTAGTGATTTCCTCTACTCCAAAAGATTCAATGGTCATTGCTACATCAATGATTCCCAATTCTATATATCTGGCTAATTGCTTTCTCCTAAACCTCAGTCCCAAATTATCAACTTCTTGCAGAACTTCACAAGAATGTCCTACTGGCACCCTAAATCAGCCTGTCCAAAGTGGAGCCCATCTCTTCTCCCCCTCCCCCATCTATCTCTCCTCCCAACTTCCCTATTTTTGTGGATGACACCGTCACCTTCTCAGAGATCTAAGTTTGAAACTTCAGTCATCTTTGACTCTTCACTCTCCTTTATCCCTCTCCCAGCAAATTCATATGTAATGGAGGCTCCCTGAAGAAATCTGGAGGACACACACTGTGACTGATTCTAGTCTAATTGTGGGGCAAGTGAGAACCCCTTTAATAGCCTGTGGCTGCATAGATATGATTGGGGACTATTCGAAAGGCACCAGATGACCAGTGCCTTGCCTCTTTCTATTAGGTTAATTCCATCTTACTGATGGCATTAGGTGAGAGAAGGGAAAAGGGCTTGAGCCCTCCCTAGAGGAGGCCCAGGGTCAGCTAGGTGGCTCAGTGGATGGAGTGCTGGGCTTGGAGTCAGGAAGACTTACCTTCTTGAGTTCAAATCTGGATTCAGACACTTCCTAGACATGTGGCCTTGAGCAAGTCATTTGACCCTGTTTGCCTCAGTTGTTCATCTATAAAAATGAGCTAGAGAAGGAAATGGCAAACCACCCCAGTATCTCTGCCATGAAAATCCCAAATGGGGTCACGAAGAGTTGGGCATGACTAAAGGGACTGAACAACAATACAGGAGGCCCACATGGGCCTTCTGACATCTTTTATTCTTACTATTTTCCCCCTTGATTCACTCCACATTCCATGTTGCATCGAGGGTCTCTTTCCCCCCAGTGCAGCATGCTCCCTTGTTCTTCTGTGGATCTGTAGAATCCATCCTCTGGGACAGGAATGCTCTCTCCTCACCTCTGCCTTTCAGAATCCTTTCTCTTCCTTCAAGGCTCAGCTCTCATGGACCTTCTCCACAATCCTTCCCTAATCCATCAAGCTCAAAGTGCTCTCTACCTCCTGAAATTCTTAATGAAATTTTGTCTGGACCTCTCCATCACCCATATTTCTCCTGTTTTGTATTTTTACACATAGATGATGATGGTTTGTTATTAGAGACATTCTCACACATGATCTTCATAACGCTCATGACAGGTGTTGTAAGAATGACCAACCCAGGTAGTTGCAGGAGGAAACCAAAACACACAGTGAAAGGACTTTCCTAAGGCTCCTGGAAGCTGAGCCAGAATGTGAAGGCTAGGGTCCTGTGGAGCCCTGTTCAATTACACTACCTCTAATCCAGCCACAAAGTTTCTCCTCAACACAGACTAAGACAGTAAATCCCAATGACTTGTTTCCCAAACACGTCTATTTTCTGTATGATTCTCCAGGATTTTGTTTTCTGCTCTAGGAGGATTTCCCATATTCACTATACTGATCAATCTTTCCCATTTAATGAACTAACCTTCAACAAGGATGTGTTGCAGTTGAAAGCTTTCCAATATTAGTAAAATGATATCTGCTTTTGACATGACTTGACATGACAGATCTTTCCCAGGACACTTCCCCCTCATCCTACAAAAGGTATGAAGTAGATTCTCTTTAAAAAGTTAAGCGATAGTGGTTAATGGGCAAATTTTTAACTCCTACAATGTCATTTTCCTACAATGACATTACAATGTCGTTCTTTCATATTGGCCAATAATTAGCAGGAAGGAAGGACGTCCATTTAATGTCAACAGCCAGAACCAACATAATCTGTTCTTTAGCTCTTTTGTTGCCCTTTAGTGCTGGTTATGATGCTGCTTGAAGTGTAAATTCATGGAATTACATAGAATTATTTATTATTTATACATTTGATATTATTTATATATGGAATTTATGGAATTATTAATTTGTATGGAATTATGCATGGATTTATTGGGACACAAATAAGAGGAATATCCTTTTGATAAAGGGACCTGAGGTTCATCTGCTGCCCTCTCTCATTCATTGCCCCATGCTTGTTCATGGTAAGGGCAGCTATATGTGGGGGACACTCCAGTCCTGGAGCTCCCAGTTTACACCCAAAGGAAAGAGGAACCACAATGGAGGCATTTAGGGTTCAAAGGGGGCAGGCACGTGGAGGTCTTTGGATACCCACCGGAAAAGACCACTATGGCAGCAAATGGGACATAATGCTTCAGTCACACTTTAATAAGGCACAGAGGCAGATGGCATGGGAATACGGGACGGTGTGATCGAGGGAGGTAGACGTGGGCAAGACAATGGGGAGGTGGAAGGGCACTGATCACTTATGTAATTGAGGACTGGAGTTGCAAACACTCTACAGCATAGATCAGCAGCAAATGGAGGAGTGCTGGGATGGGGGATGGGGGAGCAGAAGTGTGGGAGATCTCATTTTTATGGGATTTCAGTGATGGGAGTGGAGAAAGGCCTGACTTATACATGCCGCCTTTCTCTTGGTTCATTAGCATAGCCACACCACCTCAAAGTTACCTGCAACACTTTAGGGTTAGTTCATTAGTTTAACATTTGCTGAGGTTTTGCTGATCTTAAGGCTGGAGCCTGTAGCTTCTTTGAGGCTTCCAGACCATAGGCAGTCAGCAGGACCCAGGGACCCTTACAGTAAGGCCTAGCTGGCTCCCCCTAATTAAGTGCATTGTCTTAGGATGTGGTCTCAGTTAATTTATGAGGCAGTTGGCAATGGCTCCTGTTCTCCCCTAATTCATGAGACAGTTTGCAAGTGACTTCTAGGTTCCTTTTTTAAATCTTCCTTCCCATTACTGTCACCTTATACTAGTTACCTGGTGTGTGTGTGTGTGTGTGTGTGTACATGAAAGAGAGAAAGAGAGAAAGACAGAGAGAGAGGAGAGAGAGAGGGAGGGAGGGAGGGAAGGGGGGGGAGAGAGAGAGAGAGAGAAGAACAAGATACAATTTCAACACACTGTTATGGTCAAATATATTATACTATTGGATCTGCTGTCTGCATCAGACTATACAACTCTGCCCATGTTTCTTTATACTTCTAGGGTTTCTGTCCAATGAGAATTTTGATGCTGAATGAGATATGAATTCCTATTAAATGACTTCCCACATTCCTTACATTTAAAAGGTCTCTCTCCAGTATGAACTCTATGGTGTTCAAAAAGGGATGAGCTCCTACTGAAGGCCTTCCCACACTCCTTACATTGATAAGGTTTCTCTCCAGTGTGCATTCTCTGGTGTATAATAAGTGATGAACTTTGGCTAAAGGCCTTCCCACATTCCTTACATTGATAGGGTTTCTCTCCAGTGTGAATTCTCTGGTGTTGAATGAGGTGTGAATTCAAGTGAAAAGCCTTCCCACATTCTTTACATTGATAAGGTTTCTCTCCAGTATGAATATTCTTATGTACAATAAGAGCTGAGTTTTGGCTGAAGGCCTTCCCACATTCACCACATTTATAAGGCTTTTCTCCAGTGTGAATTCTCTGGTGTTGAATGAGAGGTGTCTTCCAGTTGAAGGCCTTTCCACAGTCCTTACATTGGTATGGTTTTTCTCCAGTATGAATTCTCTGATGTTGGTTGAGGCCCGATTTCCATTTGAAGGCCTTCCCACATTCCTTACATTTATACGGCTTCTCTTCAGTGTGAACTCTCTGGTGTGCAATAAGGGCTGAGCTGTGGCTGAAGGCTTTTCCACATCCCTTACATTCATAAGGCTTCTCTCCAGTGTGAATTCTCTGGTGTCCAATGAGGTATGACTTCCAGTTGAAAGCCTTCCCACATTCCTTACATTCATAAGGTCTCTCTCCATTATGCATCCTTTCATGACTGATGAGGTAAGAATACTGGGTAAAAAACTTTCCACAGTCCTTACATGTATAAGGTTTCTCTCCAGTGTGAATTCCCTGCTCTTCCATAAGGTGGGAGATCTCCTGGAAACTCTTCCCACATTCCTTGGACTCCTCAGTTTTCTCTCCAGTGTGAATTCTCTGATGTTGGATCATCCCTGCATTCTGGCTAAAAGTCTTTTCAAATTCCTCACAATCCCAGGATTTCTCTACCCTACACAGACTTGGAGGTGGAATCAAGGCTGGGAGACCCTCACCTTCATTGTCACTGCATGACCTCTTGGACTTGCAGGTACTCCTGTGGATTTTTTTGCCAGTGTCAACACATTCATGGCCTCTGTGCCCAATAGGAGTTTTCCTGTCCAGAATCAATTGCCTCAAATCACTTTGGTGGGAAATGATCTGCTTTGGAATCTTCCCTGCCAGGTCTTGCATTTGCTTCCATACCCTGATCTCTTGGATTGGACTACCCACAAGGGTTTTGTTCCTGAGAACATCCCCAGGGAGTCTTTGCACTAATGTCTCTTCTGATCCTAAATCTTGCTTTTCAGTTGACTCCTGGTTCTTAAGTTTAGTATCCCAAGCTGAAAAAAAAAATAAGGAAACAGAAGTTGAACCCAGAGGGCTAGAAAGCTAATCCTAGAGAATGTATAAAGTCCTGTGAAAAGCTTATTATTAGTCAAACTTGTACCAGAATCCTGAATCCTTCCATCTCAGTCCTCTCCAGGCTGCACTTGGGACTTCCTCTTCAACCCTAGATTTTACACTTTAAAAAATGTAATCCCAGAGAGGGAAGGACATTATTCAACTTCAAACCCTGCATCAGTACAGAGATGGGACAGCAGTCACTGAATGCCAGAGCTGGAAAGCACCAGGCAGTCACATCCTTCCCATTTGCCAAATGGAGACAGTGGGGCTCAGAGAAGTCGGGGCACTTGCTGAAGTGTGCGTGTGCATTCAGGCATCCCCTCTCTAGAGGGATGATCCTGCCCTATATGAAGAACTCATTCTTAAGAACTCCCATGACTTCAGAGTCCAGGACAAGGAGCTGGGGAAATCACCACTGGGTGAGTGAACTCATCAGGCAGGCCTACTCCATTCTGGGCCCAATATCTTGTGGTCCAACTAGAAGCTTAGCATTAGTACGAAGGGCTCTGGGGAGCATTGGCACTGTGGCCATGGAGGGGTCTGGTCAAAACCCTAGCACTCTGCAGAATTACGGATCAGTGACATAATGGGACTGTGCTAAATGCTTGGTATGCAAACCCAAGCCAGCAAAGCCATGTGTGTCCTCAGGAAGCGGGTGTGGGAAAGGTGATTTCAGCATGTCCAGGGAACACGCTTTGCATGAGGAGCTCAGAAGGAATGGTACTGGAATCATAGGGCACGTCATTAACATGGTCTGTCCAGTGATGGTGGTGGTGCCTGAATCACTCCTGACAGAAGGCCTGGGCTACCTGGGGGATAGTCTTTGATAATTATTGGTTTGTCTTTTACTTTTCTTTTGAATAGAGCAGAGGGTTCTTAACCCAGGATGTGTGAGCTTTCTAAAAGTAACATTTGGTGGCCTTCCATATGACTGATTTCCTCTGTAATCCCCTATGTATTTATTCTATGCATTTAAGATTATTCCAAGGAGGCGTCTACACGTCAACAACACTTGGGCTTGAACCCGCCTCAGACAGTTACTAACTGTGTGTGCCTGGGCAAGTTGCCGAATTTGTTTGTGGTAAACTCAAGAAACTTTTCTAGCGCCAAATAAATTAATTAGTTAAAATTTTTTTTAATTTTTAATTTTTTTCAATTTATTTATTTCTTTATTTTTAGTTTTCAACATTCACTTCCACAAGATTCTGAGTTCCATGTTTTCTCCTCATCCCTCTCCTCTCCCCATCCCGTGATGGCCTGCATTCTGATTCCTCCTTCATCTAATCTGTTCTGCCTCCTATTACCCAACCCCCTCGTCCCCTTCGCCTTCTTAGGGTAAGACAGATTTCTAAACCCCTTTGCCTGTGTATCTGATTTCCCAGTTGCATGCAGAAACAATTTCTAACATTTGTTTTTATAGTTTGGGGTTCCAAATTCTCTCCTCTCCTCCCTCCCCACCCACACTCATTGAGAAGGCAAGCAATTTGACATAGGCTACACATGTGTGGTCATGCAAAACACTTCCATAATAGTCATGTTGTGAGAGACTAACTATATTTCCCTCCATCCTGTCCCATGCCCATTTATTCTATTCTCTCCTTTGACTTGTCCCTCCTCAAAAGTGTTTGCTTCTGATTACCCCCTCCCCCAGTCTGCCCTCCCTTCTATCACCCCTCCCTCTCTTATTCTTCCCCCCTACTTTCCCATAGGGTGAGATAGATTTCCATACCCAATTGGGTGTGTATGTTATTCCCTCCTTAAGCCAAATCCAATGAGAGTAAAGTCCACTCATTCCTTCTCATCTCTCCCCATCTTCCCCTCCACTGTAAAAGCTTTTTCTTACCTCTTTTATGTGAGATAATTTACCCCCTTTCTACCTCTCCCTTCCTCTTTCTCCAAGTACATTCCTCTCTCTCACCCCTTCATTTTCAGACATCCTCTCTTCATATTCAACTCACCCTGTGCCCTCTGTCTATATATATTCCCTCCAACTACCCTAATACTGAGAAAGGTCTCATGAGTTACAAATATCATCTTTCCATGTAGGAATGTAAACAGTTCCACTTTAATAAGTCCCTTATGATTTCTCTTTCCTGTTTACCTTTTCATGCTTGTCTTGAGTCTTGTATTTGAAAGTCAAATTTTCTATTTAGCTCTGGCTTCTCAAGAATGCATTAAATTCCTCTTCGTCATTGAATGTCAATTAAAAAAATTTTTTTTAAAAAAGGAAAGACAGGAAGGGGTCCACAGGATTTGCCAGGCTGCCCAAGGGGTCTGTGAAACAAAAGAGGTGAAGAAGCCCTGGTCTGGAGGCTTTCCCAAGGCAGAGCAGGCCTTAGCAGGTTACCCTGGGAAGCATCCCTCTATTGAAGGATTAGTTCTAGTGGTTCATTAACTCTGTCCTCTCAGAGTTGAACCCTGACCTTTCTATCCCTTGATTCTGAGTCCCTGGCACTGGGAAAGAAAGGACTGCTTTGCTAAGCTGTGGGGAGAGAGGTTCCTGCTTTCCAGCCTTTGGGAGTGAGTCTCCCCTACATGGCCATGTGACCACTGGTGGTCATCTCCACACACCTACCTGCACCCTCCAGCGCTTCAAAAATGGCCACACAGAAGAGCCCAGCTGGGCTGCTCCACCCACTGGCTCCCAGCTGACTCCTGGGATTTTCTGCTTCAGACAAAGAAGTGCTTCTGGCAGCATGTCCCA